TATACACGACATGTTTGTCGCTGTAAATGCAATAAAGAGGCGAAGGGGCTGTATCGATTAACGTGTTGAATTGCCATGACTGTGCCGATTGGAGAGACGCGACTCGATTCGATAAACCAGCAAAATTCCAATATCGTACGTAAGAATTTGTTCCCCACGCGCCACTTGGTTGTCCATAAAAATAAATGTGCTTTCTGCCGAAACCTACCTATCTCAAATGTTGCTTGTGTGGCTTTGAAATTCCGCAATCTTTTATTGCATACCTCATTTTATCGGTCAAATATACCACAAGCTTTTAGAGCGCTTCAAGCTGCAGGATAAATAAATTTTTGAAATTTCCACATTTTTATATTTTCGTTATTTCATCGAATGTTTGAGACAATAATTTTTTTGATGTCGAGCTTTGCATACATTGAAAAATAAATTATAAATTTAATATTTAAAAAAAAATGTAATATGAAATGTAGAAAACCACTCTGTGAAATTGTTTCGAATATTGATGGAACCGTGTGTGTATTTGAAACTTTTTTTTTGATCGCCAGAAAAATTATAAAAAATGCGGAAAGTTCAAACTAAATCTAAATATACAAGAGTGTAGCTGACAAGATTAAATGGCATTGAAGGAAGACGAATTTATCTGGCATATCGCTCGATGAAGAAATACAAAATTAATTTTACCAGCTTTGCGCGATGTGTCTTTCGGCGATGAAAAATGGCCAGCTTATCTCTCGCGATCGAGTGCATCCATTACTCGCAAAGAGGCACGTGTCGATGTATCTACAAGAGAGATAGAACAAGGAAGAAAAAAGAGAGAGAGAGGGAGAAAGAAAGAGGAGGAAGCGTGCAACGGGAAAATTGTCGTGACACCGTCGACACGCCAAGGCTTGGTGACCCGCAAACAGTGGGACGCACTCCATTCTACAAAAGCCGTCCATCAAGCATCAATAATGTAGAAGGGTCGTAGTGTGGCCTTGCCATGAACATATCGACCACTCGCAAATATCGATTACTCATGCGACGGTGACCCGTAAGATGCTGACTATATGCTACAATTTTTTACCATCGTACGCACGTAGTAAGAGCTATATCGATGGTATGAAAGAACTCATCGAACGAGCAATTCATTCTATAGTCGCCTTATTATGATCACATAAGAAATCCTCTCGAGAAGAGATTTTTTTATCTTATTTTATAAATTTATTTAGCAAGAGAGCTTGTAATGCAAACAATCCTTGGTACATTATTCGATTTTATAATTTGAAAACTTCTTAGGATCTGTTCAATGTATGATTTTAAACACAAATTTCAATGTGTATGATTTTAAACACATTTGTTTTAAGATTATTATAAATTTATTGATTGAATAAAAAATAATCTTAAAACAAGCGAAAATAGATAATATTATATAATCATATAATTTATATCAGATAGATATTTTTCTAGGCACTGAGCAATTTTCATATTGTTATTTTTCGATTAAAGATTAGAAAATTTTTACGAGATAATATGCAGGAATTTTTCAAATTCAACGAGATCACATTTTTTTTCATAGTGCCGATGAAAAAATATTCTCGAACACACCGAAATATGCAAACAACTTGCTAATAGGTTCTTCTGCGTATATCGACGTATTTGCCACGCCATTGCTTTATTCGATAACAGTTGACGTTTCTGCATAATTTATAAGAATATCGAAGTGGCGTATAATTCTTTATTTATGAAAGAAACAACATATTGATTATATCATAATTTAAGAGTGTTCCTTTTTTCTTTTTTATTTAAAAGGAACAAATAAATTCATGTAAAATTTAAATCGTTCTAGAAAATCAGGTTTCTGTTGGTTTTTATGACATTTAAAATTACTGTAGACTTGAATATAGCTTTCAAATTCCGTCAAAAGCATTTTGATATATCACAAATCAGAATATAATATCAAGAGAGCACCATTTCATATATGATGACATTTTCTTTTTTATAAATTAAACTATAGAGATTCGAACGCATTAGGGCGTACATAGAGATCGTACGAAAAATCGAAAAGCTGCTTACGTCGCCATGCCAGTTCAATTTATATCGCTACTGAAGCGTAAACATTGTTAATTTCGAATGGACCTCCAATCGATTTTTGCGGATACCATATTTGCCGCTCGCTTCGTTGTTTGATATATAGAATATTTTAGAACCATTCCTTACCATCACAGATATGATAAGATAGTGTAAGTAAAGTTTCTTTGTAAATATGACCTTTAAGATAAAAGTCTTTAAGAAAAAAACAAGCTACATGAGGCAAAACTTATATTAAAAATAGAATTTTAAAAAGCCAATATTTAAAATGCCGATTTTTTTAAAAACAATATAACAAGTGCAACATATAAATATAACAAAGTGGAATATATAAAAGGGAACAACTACATGTTTTTATTATGTTTTTTATTATGAATAGAAAATATTATTAAAAACAAAAATGTATTGTTCAAGGAAGAATGATGAAAAATAGAAAAATATTCTAATTATATAGTTTTGTCAAAAACGGCACAGATATTTATTATTATTTACATTTTATTGGTCTCATATATTTAGAATATTTAAAACATAATAGATTTAATTTAATGACAGCATTATTTGAGACAGTTTTGTAGAACAATAGATGCAATGTGTATGCAATATACTTATGTGTATATATAGTTTGTGTGAACAGAAAAAAATAGACAGAGAAAATTAAAATAAATGAAAAATATCAATATAATGTATAAAATTATAAAAAAATGTAAGAAGTAAGATATATTCTATATATTCTATATATATATTCTAATTGTTACTTTAATTTCAATGATAGATTTTCTGTTGAGAAACGATTCTGTTCCAGTTAATTTTTTTTCTCTTGACGAAAATATAGAAATATAGAAATAATATTGATAAAATTTCTCAATTATGAACGAATTATATAAACTGAAACAATAGAGCTCTTCGCGCGAATAAATAAATAGGAAAATTATAATTGTTAATTAATATATGTATTTTGAAATATACATAAATTTTTAATTATATATATATTCTTTTTACTTTAAAAAAATTTTAATCAAAAAGGTTTAATTATAAAAATATATAATCTTAAAAATAATTCGGAGATTATTATAAATTAATACAATGATCATTTTTTTCAATATTTTTGTATTATAAATTGATCATAGACTCTATTATTAAAGAGATAAGATCGCATATTATAAAATATTCTTCGTATCTTACTGTCGCTCACGCATAGAAAAGTACTCTGTCAGAAATAAAAAAACTCACTCGTCAGTCTCTGACAGTAATGGTCGGGCAAGAAAAAGATCGCCGATTTCAAATCTCAGGAATCAAGTTGTCGAGTAAGCTTGCCAAAAAGATGGTGAATTGGAATTGCCAAGAGCACCGAAGTATAAGAGCAGAACATCTCTCCACTTCCATTTTCTCTCTCGTTTGTCAGTACTTTACTCTTATTCGTTTCTTTCCTTTTATTCTTTTTATATTCTTTCCTCTCTTTTCCTCTTCCTTTTTATTTGTTATTTCTTTTTTTACAGTTCATTCTTTTTCTCAATTTTCTCTTTTTCCTTATGTTCTCTCTCTCTCTCTCTCTCTCTTTCTCTCTTTCTCCTCACTTTTATTCGGTCGCTCGCTCCATTCTATAGCGGGTGTCTATCGATCGTGTCGGCTCTATAAATAGACGCGCGGGACATCGACGGTATTTAGCATTTCGCAATGAACTACTTGCACCGACTGTGTGTAGCCTGCATATATATGACAAGTGGATGACACGATGTCTCTCATGCTCTTCTGCAGGGAAAAGGTGATGGCCGCGTGGGATATCGTGTAAACGCGATTGATGCCCTCTTATGTGACGTTTGTCGTCCTACGCCGAGAATTTCGTCCCGACAATGCATTTCTTTATGATTGGCATGTTGACGAATGGCAAACGATAACGATGTTATGTTTCAATGCGAAATGTAGATTACGGTTTATCCTACAGTAGACTTCAAATTACGATTCGATGACTATTAGTAACTACAATAATAACAACGATAAAATATAAGATTAATGCATAATGTTGCTTACACTTTCATTCAAGTTTAATGAATAAATTATTAATTAAATTTCTTTTCTTTATTATTTTTGCTCCTAAATAATAATAAAGATTAAATTACAAAAATACTTTTATCTAATTGTATTGATCAAAAATTTTGTTAAAAGTAAAATTGATTTTTCATTCTAAATTCTTGTTTTCAATTCTATAAATTATTCTTTAGTATCTTGTCGTGTATAGGAATTATATCCCAAAAAAATTTCTCAGAAACTTTCAAAAATTGTTAATCAAAAAATTCTGTTTACAATTTACAGGACTTATCTAATTTAGAAAATAATTGATTAATTTTAGATTGTCAAAAACTTTTCGCTTTTGAATTATGGATTATATTTTGAGAAGACTTTAATATTCATAGAGATGCATAATATTCAAAGAATGATTTTCTTGCATAATTCAACCAGCAAATCTTTATTCGACTATCTTCGCTGTTTGCATCTTGTTTGCGTCCTTTTGTCGTTTCCTCTGTAATTTTCTCCGTAAAGACCGATTTTTTTCAGTTCTTAAAGAGATAGCTACTATACATCTCTGCTTTCATTTGCCGCGCTACAGATTTCTCTGGATTACTACCTCATTACACCGAGAAATTTAAGTTGTCGCCTTAAGTAAACGATACATTACGATCGTACTAGAGAAAAAACTGGAAATAATCACCGTGTAATTTTTTATTACACAATTTAATTAAAAATTATCGCAAAATACAACGTTATAAAATATCAACTTAATTGACAATCAAATCAAATTTAAAAAAATTAAAAATAAGAGCTGCGTCAATATCGCGTTCATTTTTATTCTGCTGCTGTCATATTCTAGATCTTTCATTCTTTCGTATTCTGATATTCTTATAGTGTGTATCGATTTGTATATTAACATATATTTTTAGAAGATATAGTGGCAGAATTCAACGGATTTGCGAAAGATGGATCGTTGTAGATATGGATATCACACGGGTGAAAGTTCGCGCAAACGGAAGTGGAAACAAGACGTGGAAACTTCATAGAGATGCATATGAAGCGTAGGCGACACGATCGAATTCGCCGTCGAAATCTTTTTTCAGAAGCACGAGGCTGGAAACTTGGCGTTGATACTGTTCGCTCGCGTTCTCCAAAGGACATATTTGATAATGTCAGGCTCGGTTGGCTCTTTGAAATTTGCGGCATTAATTAACGACGACGCAAGTTTTATAGTCTCGTAAGAAAGTTATTTCGCACGAATTTAGTTGAGATTTATTTTCCACATAATTCTTTTTAAACGCTTCTTAAACCTAAGATAATTCAGAAATGAAAGGATATAAAATAACTATAATATACGTTTCGTATATGTATGTTAATATATGTATATCTCGTATATATATGTACGCTATGCATGTTAAAACACATGTTTTTTTAGATTACGAGATCATTTTGTATTCATAATGCGCAATGTAACATTAGCTTGAGAGATCTAGAAAAATAAAAATATTTAATTTTTTAAATTTTGAATAAAAATAAGATTAATTTTAATTAAATAAATTATTCTAAAATTCCAGATTTAAAAGATTTCAGAAACATAAATATACTGCTACAAAAATTAAAATTCTGTTTTAAAATATATGTTCGCGGTTTTGAAATATATTCAACAGACGTAGTTATTTCTTGTATAAGCATTTGCATGTTAAAAGCGATATTAAATGAATCAGATGTGAAAAAATATTAAATGAATAAATAAATTTTAAGATTCTTTACAGTAATTTATTCAGCTGCATGTCATTAGAAATAAGTATTTAATGTAAATTTCTTCAAGGGTTTGAAAAATTGCGTATAGACACACACACACACACATACACACACACAATTAAATAAAATATTTATATTTGCATGCAAACACGTAAAAAGCATTTTTTTGAAAATGGACAACTTTTATATTATGCAATATCTGAGTTTATCTTTCTAAAATGTAGAATTTGTTTTACATTCTATCTCCAATACAATATAATCTCCAGTTGAGCACTTGCGTCCGGCACGTTCGCGCGTATATATTTCTATCCCTCGAGCAAATCGTGACTTGAATATCCGCATTGATATTGGTTTCAAGAGATTCTGCCTGGAACCACTTCATCTTTCATATAAATAATAGACGAATTGATCGCGTGTCATTAATATAGGATGACTCAAATATATAAAATGTAATACAAAAATTAAACATTAAATTGCTTAAAATGGTGGAACTTCACAAAATATAAAAGAACAATCTAAGAAAACGACTATATCAAGTTTTCATGCACTTTACTGTAATACAATATCCTTTACCGTATCATAAGGTGTCGTATAGTAAACTTTCAGTAACATAGTTCTGCAAACATGATACATGCATAAACTTTTCTTTTACTTGACATTAATTAACCCAGACATTAATTAACCCAGTTGTATTATCTCTTTATGATTAATAATCTTTTTATTTATAAATTATATATTTGCTATTTCATATATAATAGTATTCTATATATAATATCTTTATTCTAAGTTTTACAAGAAAAATCTCGGGTTGCGGATAATTACTTTTGATTAAATCTGACGTCTGCCAGATCTTTTGAAGCTCGATACCCATCAAGAAACTATCGGGGCTAGAAGACACGCTTAATCCTCTTTTCCTATTGATTGGCATACAGCTCGTTGCCGTGGTTACCAAAAGGTTACTACAATCCTTTCATCAGGAACCATTTATTGGATGAACATTACCCGCCTTGAGCTCATAAGCTAGCGATATTAAAAGAATCTGAAAACAGTGCTCTTATAGTCGCAGACAGCGAGTCGCGATACGAAATGAGTTGCTTGAATAGAAAGAACGAATTTAAAATCTACATTCCATCGAATCCAACATAAGGTTTCACAGTCAATGTATTTTAAACGTGTTTGAACAAATTGCACGTGAACATGCACAGCAATTGAACGAATACGTCATTTGCCGTCAAAATGCATTTATTTACACGCAATTTTGTTACATTTGTTGCATCGACATCACATCACATAATGCATCGTGTTGAATTTAATAGAATGCAAGTTTCATTCTGCCAAACGAAAGCGAGCAATGAAATTCATTCACTTTAGGAACTTTGCCCTGTTGTATAGCTGTACAACGGTACGAATACGCGTGCTGGATGCTTTGAAAGTTCAATTATTCCCTAGAGTGTTAGCTATAGTTCGTCAAGAATACAAAGTTGAATACAAAAGTTTTGATCTGTAAATAATGTCGAAAAATTTAATCTTTAATCTCTTATATGTAATAATGAACAGAAACGTTTGTTTCCAGTTATCAAGAGCGTTTCAACGAATAATAAAAGTTACTTTCTCTTGATTTCTAAAGAATTTAAATTACATCTTAATCTTTTTTATCTGAACAACTGCAAATATTTACGATATTATGATGAGATTATTACAAATTCCACTCGACAAATGTACGTTTTCTTCGAGTATTTTTGGCTACTTACATTATGTAATTGTTTCCTTGAGAAAAAGAGATCTGAGAAGCTTCTTAGTTTAGGATGCAATGTAAAAAATTAATCAAGTAATAAAAATTTTAATAAACATATTAAAAAATATTTCTTTTGAAGAAATCATTAGTAAGAAATGTTTTTTACGCATAATTGCATAAATTTTTATTCATTTATGATGTGCTTTTTAGAATATCATAAATAAATTTAAAATAAATTTAAAATAAATTTAATCGCATACGAGAAATAACAGAATATTTCAATATATAACATAATAATATAATGTTTCAAGAATACAATAAAGATGATATCTTTTTAATATAATATATGGTGGAATATTCATATAATATGATCGAACTTATTGTTAGAACAATCCATCAAAAAATGCATATAATTTATGATGAAAAACAGTACAATAATTCAAAATATACACTCTCTCTCTCTCTGTACAGGTCCAATATATTTCTTTTTTTCAATTTTTACAAAAGCATCTCTCTTATTCGGAGAGTCTTATAAACTTTCCATCTTCTTTCTCTAGATATTAATAAATCATACAACTTATAAATTGATGCTTTTTCGTATTATTGCATTTTATATAAAATTTCAAACGCAGACATTATTTCCTATCGAATATTAATGCCAAGGAAGTGGCTAACACGTTATTGTTGATCGGGCTACGTGCGGTTGAAATGTTTGTGCAGCTCGCTGCAAGTTTGCGCGCAAACATATCCCGCATCGGACGTGGATACACATAGTAGCGACGTCATGCGTCGGACGAAGTGGGACGTCGAAATCAATCGAACAAGCGAATTATTGTCCAGACAATATGCGTGCATTCACAAACATTACGTTCCGCAAACAATATTATCGTGCAGAAGATCCATTCTTATCTAGATATAAAAAGATTTCTATACTTCATTTTGATACATGTATTTTAATTATAATTTTATTATATTATCATTTTTAACGTAATTTTTTATACATCTTCAATATTATAATTATATTATAATTATATTTTCTTGTACTTCTCGTGTACTTTTCTTCTTTTTTTATTATAGAACGAATCTATTTGTTAAAATATGTAAGCTATTTTTACATATAAATATGCGTAATGTATATAGAAAAAAATGATTACGTTCTCTTTCGCGCGAAAATAAATTTAAGCGGAACTAAATTTATTTATATAAATAAAATATTTTATACTCTCTACACGTATAAACAGGTAGAAACGCAAATAAATAGAATGTTGAAATCGATATAAGCAATTAAATTGCCTTTTATTATTTTATAACGCAATTATGTTATGTATATTATTTTATTGAATGTAATATATAATTTAGAAATAAGTATACGTTTAACTATTTTCTATTTTAAATTTTAAAAGGCGATTTAAAAAAGTTGATAGAGACTAGAATATTTTTTTATTAAAAGAGATGATATTAGTAACGCCGTCGAATTAATATTCTCGCAAATTGTAGTATTCTCATGATAGTTAAATAAGTTAAATATAATCGTGTTAGTTTCTGGTATATAGACTAAATTATTCATGGGAACGCGGGGAGCCGCGGATTGCTTCCGAAATTACCTTCAAAGCTGATTTCAAGTTTCAAGCATCTTTCTTATTATGGCTGCAAAGATTTTCTTTGAGGAGACAGCCATTGTGGGATTGATATTTGTTGCAAATGTGAAAAATCCTGGGGATTTGCATGAGAACTTGAAACCTTCAGTTCAGTTTCAAATGCTTGAGTTATCGCACATTTTTCAACTAGTTTCTTGTTAGTTTTCCTCAATATTGCTTGAAATTAAAGTGTCTTTTCTCGTTTTATAAGGTATTTTCTCTTAAAAAGTTCATCCGACCAGATTTCAAATAAACCAACGCAAAAATCATTCCCGTGTCCGCGCGCGCTATTCACATTCTCTCTGTGTTTCAACAATTGAGTATTTACGAGGCAATGTGTTAAGCAAGAAAGAGTGAAGAAAGAAAGGTAAACGCAAATGCGGGTGGAAATTCAAATAAGGGCGGAATAAATGCGCCGCATGCGGACACGAATAATGGAAATAGCTAGCCAGATTGCGAGCTATTCGTACCGAGTCATTAAATTTGTATGGAGTTATGTTGCTTCAATAATTAAGCGTTTTGAGTTTGCGTTAAACGTACTCGCGTAATTCATTACGGTGTATATTATTTTATTCTTAGGAGTTAAACTCTTCAGCAAACTACAGCAATACTTACATTACATAATTTATATATGAATCAAGATTATGTATAATTTTAATCCATCTATAAATTACGTAATAATAAGTCAAAATTAAAAAGTTAATTTGCTTACAAAAAAGTTTCAAACGATATTATTAAAACTGATATAATTTATTAAGAAGCAATATATAAATATTTGTCATAATAAATAATAAATTTTTAAACTTTTTTTCATATAAGAAAAGTAAAAATTTTATATATATGTATATATCAATTCTATAATAGTAGATAAATGATACATAGAAAATATACAACATGTTTAGAAAGGACACAAAAAGAATTTGTTTCACATGTTCTCCGCAATATCTGTTTTGTACTCTTTAAAAAAAAAATAATTTACTACTAGACTATACATATATATAATACTAGATATAATGTATTTTACATTTATTTCCATTTCTTTTTTCTTTTAAATTTCTCTTTTTAATTTAAAATAATATCGCGCAACACAAAATGTAAAAATTTTTTCTATATCACTTTACATTACTTTATATTCCGCTAACACATATCTATAGCATATAAAAATAAATAATAAAAAACATCATGTTAGATTCAGAGACAAGATTTTTTTGTTAAAAAATGGACTTAACAGAAAAAAACAAACTTGTGACAGCATAACAGTGTTGTGTTTAATTATTTCTAAGTAAACTTTGCAAAAATTTTTTTTCTACACTGACATTGCTGTGCGTCCATGGAAGAGGTTATTAATTTCTTCAAGCGAGATTATATTCCGACGAGCAGAAGAGGGAAACAAAATTACAGCGGGATTAAAATGGTCCGCCCTTTTGGTTTAGGTCTCGCGAGCAGGTGCGGGCACCTGCGAGTATCCCAGAGAAAGAGAGAGAAAGAAATACATTCGCGAAAATAAGAAACAAAGAGAGAATGAAATACATACTCTGGAGGGAATCCCCGTAATCCGTGCGCCCTAAGCGCGTGCAAAAGCGCCAGGCCACCCCTGCTCGGGGTTGCGGTGGGTGGCGGAACTACGAGGTGGTGGCCAAGGAGCCACAGTTGGTTGCGGGCTGTCGCCCTGAGAACAGCGCGCGTGCTTCTGCCTCCCTCACGGCACGCGACCTCGTGATCGCGTGATCGTGGAACAAATCTCGCCCATCGCATCAAACAAATCGTGCTGGTCGAGTTGTTGATCGAGTCGCAATCCATCGGTCACCTCGCCAAGGTCGGCACACGGACGATGCAACACTGACAAAATGTGCGACGTTGATGTATCCGTCAGCACATCGTTTCTAATCTTCAATCAGATTCTAAATAGCCTCTAGTGTGCGACGCAACAAAAGAGTTTTCATACTTGCGTTTTATGCGCGTGCGGTATTCGGCGGTCAATCGCCGAAACGATATTGATGGAATGAATCGTGAGAAACGCGAATTATCGCTACATGTGTGATAATTGATTGTTCTAGATGGGTGTAAATTGAATCGTGCGATTTTGTGCCTCTACTGTACTTTAGTTTGATAATTCATTATCCCGGCGAGAGATTCGGAGCAAGCTCGTCTGCGAAAAGCTTGCGCGGATGACCTCGTATCCGTGATGGAGTGAATGTACGGGTTCTGATAAATCGTTTGCAAACTTTGATATATTAAGTAATAACTAATTCATATAGAACCGACACAGACGCGAGAAGGGAGCTAGAAAAACACGAAGCGATGGCGCTTTAGCCATGGTGGAGAATAAGCGAGGTCAAAGGGGTCACTATATCGCGAGAAAAAAAGAATCGCCCCGCGAAACGATCCCTTTGAAACTGAGAAAGAACAAAATTGCCCTTTTTCCAGCTCGTCAGCAAGTTCAGTTAGTATATGTGTATAACAGTTTCTAGATAATCTTGTTGAGCGCATAGAAATAAATCATTCCAGAGTTAATCACTCCTCGACGCCTCGAGTAGCGCGATGCGAGGTGAAGAAAAACGATGGGTCGACATAATTTCGTTATTAATACTCACGCTACAAATGCATGTTAAGCTTTTGCGCGTGTTAAGTTGATCAATTTGGCATAGATACTGAAATAGGAAAGAGGTGAAAAAATTGAAAGCTGAATTGCGATTAATCCTCGTCGCGAAAGGTCAGAGGGCACTGCGACTTTCCTGTTGTTAGGCGAATACGATAATGCGTTCCGGCCTACGATTCGACTCATTGTCACTTGTTCGAAACTTTCTAATCGAGGATACGGTATGCACGTGTGCAAAACGTGTTCGCGCGATAGTGTCACGCGACATGTCGGAGTTCGCGTCGAAGTTGTCGGATCTTGTTCGGCAATCTACTTGTCGCCTTCCATTATAACTCACTTTTATGTTAGAGAGGCATAGAAGAAGCGTCGTTGAACTAAACATTGTTAACACCGTGGCTGTGTAGGTCATGTCAAGTGTTGCGTCAAAGGCTTTGGCGGTGTTCAAGAGGGATCAAGGTTCATTTATAGCGCGCAAATCCTTGTGCATACACATTGGTGATTCTCTGTGATTTCAACATTAACCTCAAGAGCAATAACGAAGCAATCATAAATGTGCATTAAGGAAAACGACATCGTTCCGCAGCAACCGCGAATTATTTCTCGTAGGAAAGATCGACAAGGATCGTAAAATAACATTTTCAAAAATTAATTAATCGTCGAAGGCTTTCTGTGAAGAAAGAAATCGTGAAGATTTTTAACGCGAACAATTACACATAGATTGAAAACAAGAAAAAAATTGAAGATATTACACACTTACATTCTTTATACTCTTTTCGAATAATTATGAGAGTAGTGCTTGTGTAAGCTTTTCTTAAATGAGAGCTTCACAACTATACGGTTCATGAGCGTTTAGCAGAAACGTCAGGAATCGTTACATATACATGATTATTCTAGGAACAATTTAGGAAGACGAGGGACAAAGTCTCTTTGCAACGGCGCGAAGTGAGATTAAGAGAGTGACAACGTTGTGTCTCAAGAAATGAGTGACAGGAAGATGAAAGGAAAAGAGCTTTCGTGCAACTACGATATAACGAACCATGAGAAAGATTACCGTCGTGTCGTCGCGAAAATGGCGATAGGCTGAATACATTTAGCGATATCACTTGACATGCGTTTACCTGCGTTCAAGCGAAGATAGGAGAGACACTTGCCGAAAGAGAAAAGAGACTCGAGGGAATCGCGCGCGAGCTAGAAATCCATTATCATATTAGTCTGAATAAATACTCGGAGGATTTCCTTGTAGGTAAGATCGATCGCGAGGTCCCAGCAGTCTACTCGACATCCATTTTCCGAAGGACCGAAACTGTGGATATTTCAATTCTCTCACCCTCTGCTGTCTATCTCTCTTCTCTTTCTCTTGCTCTTTTATCGATATTGTCTCCCCCTTTCCCTTCATCTCTACCGAATATCCATGTTCTCTGGGTCGTCTGAGAAGTTATGGTGGCTAATATCGCAGACATTATACATAACCCAGCTGCTGTCGATTGTCCGCATCTGACATTCGCGATTGTTTCATCTCGCTCGAAGGCAACAGTTTCAATAAACGCGAGCAATTCCATCGACCCACGAAATTAAGCGAAATCGGCGGAGAGAAGCGCGGCGAGCAGTGAGATTTGCGAAGAGAGAGAGAATCAGGCCAGAGAGATGTGAATTCATACGTATTTGTCAGTTGACAGATTGCATGGAATAAGTCAAAATAACGAGATAAGAGTAAACGCGACCCTGAGAACAATCCAATATTCACTCGAATCTAATGATCGAAAGCTCAAGAAATATCAAGAAATTTAACTGAAGTATTCAGTAACGACGATTGACAATGTTTAAGGATATAGAAGGATATGTCGCTCTGCATCTTAGACGCGATCAATGGTTTCGGCGACGACGACCAGGTCGGATAATCTTATCGATAATGCCCTGAAAGATTTAACAAGAAAAAATACAAGATCAAACTACACGAATTGATCACTTTCTTCTTCTCATTGGCAACGAAAATTCTGATATAATCGCGGATTAATTCAATGGAAGAATAATTCTGCTATTCTCACAATCAAGATGAACATTAACGATCCACAAGGGAGCGACGTAACGAACTATTAATCGTCAAATAGCTTAGCGCAACTCGGTGTTTACTCGCTCGAGTTCGCATCCAGAACAAGGAACATTGTCGTTGTGTGAACGCGGATTTTGGTGATTCGTGATCAGGACCATGGACAAGCCGCGTAATCGGGCGATTGTCCGGCAGTCAAGGAGCCGTTCACCGACCGTTATCGGAAAGATAGAGTCGGAATGCTGCACGCTGTTATGCTAGGTAGCGGTCCAGGACGGGGGAGACGCGAGTGGTATCCAGGATTTTACCTTCAACGTCGTCGTATTGGCTGCAGAATGAACCGTGGCGAGCAGGAAACGCTCTTCCGGCAGAGTCGACAGATCACGCGGATTGTACCCTCCCGCGAGGATCTTGTCTTGAGCGTTCTCAAGTCGCCGATTAATCAACAGCAGCAGCAGCAGCAGCAACATCAACAGCAGCAGCAGCAACATCAACAACAGCAACAACAACAACAACCACAACAGCAGCAACAACGGCAGCAGTATCGACATCCGTATCAATCACAAAGCCAGAGTCACTTTAATTGCCCAAGTCATCCAAATAATAAGAAGTGCAATCCTTCAGGTATACAAGATTAAAATTTTTAATTTGTGCTCATTCACACATTACGAATCCCGAGTGACTTCGCGGGCAAACGTGAAGCGCGCGCGTACTTTTAATCGAGAAGAAATGTAGCGTGGAGAATTGTTACACTAGGTCACGTTGCATTTGTTGCATGTATCACGGAATATTTATACCGTGATCCATCGTTTTACTGATATAAATTAGCCATCGATGTTGTGATTAACCGATGATTTCTCTCTCTCTCTCTCTCTCTCTCTCTCTCTATATATATATATATATATATATATATATATATATATATATATTCTTTGTTTAGACTTCAGTTTCTTAATTTTATATTTCAAAAAGAAATAAAGAAGAACAATTTAGAGAAAATCAGTTATATTTGAAGTTAACACAAAGTTCGACATTGTTGAAATTGGCACGTTATACAATATTGAATTGCAAAGTTATACAATAAAATATAAATATTAGAGCTCTGATATATAAATATATATATTTTCTTTTTTAATTCTTTAAAAGAAACTAAAAATATAAGTTTATCATGTATTCAATAATTTCGATTAATGCATATTTCAATGTATGAAACAATACTACACACACACACACACACACACACACACACACACACACACACACACACACACACACACACACACACACACACACACACACACACATATATATATATATATATATATATATAATATTATTATATGATTAAAAACATTTTTTCCCAGCATAATGTTCGTTTATATTTCGTGTCTCTTGCAATTTAAAAGCATATTTAAAAATATTTCTTATCAAAGGGAATTCATATGCATTCTCTACAATGTCCATTTATGCTTCTCTTTATTTAGTGCTAGAACGTAGTGATACGACATTTCTTGCATTTTTCACACATTGCCTTTCGTGCAATATAGAAAAGAAACGCGGCTAACACGGCATCGCATATCTTTTTGCGCGCGACGGACGAATATTAAATATACATATATTTCTTCCAGTCGGAAGCGAGGCGATTTGCATAGTTCGCCAATTTGCGCAACCAGCTTAATGGAGAGGCAGATTTGAAGAAGCCTAATTTCTGCAGAGAAAGAGAGAGAAAGAGAGAGAAAGAGTGGGAGGGAGGGAGAGAAAGAGAGAGAGAAATATTACTGCGCTCGATACTCGAGGCTCGATTCGCGATGCGGTTGGATCCGTTATGAGTTTTATAATGTCCCATCGCCTGAAAGATAGAAACAGAGAAAGAGAGAGGAAGAGAAGTGGTTGCTTTTATAAATAGAACTCCGTCGACAATTCATTCGCGTTAATGCACAAACGCGTAAATCAGATTTGTGGTTTTCATTGTTCCGGTATTCTCGATAATTCCGTGTTTATGTTCTGTGCGTAGGATAAATATTATAACACTACATTAGCAATATTTTACATGTAATTATCATTAATTGCTTATTAACGCGCTGGAAATTTTGGCGATTTTTACGAAGACCTTAAAAATAGCAAAAGATATTTTAAATTAAATCTGGCGCGAACAAACTCGTGATTGATCTTTTTTTTACGGGAGCTAAAATTAGCATTTTACTCGAGACTAAAAATAAATTGAAATTACGAACCTTTTTTGAATCGAGGCAAGTTAATATTTGTCACATTGATTACAATACGCTCATGACCTTTGCATAAGAGGTACTTATAAAATCTTTGATATTTCAATCGTAGATAAAAGACATGAGAAAAGCGTATGTGTACAACATGAACGTTTTATTACTCTTTTATAGCTAATAACATTAATCTCGACTTTTCCTTAATACTGCAGTTATTTCATTTTTTATAAGAAGCGCATTAACCACATATTCACAAATGACATTCGCGTCTTCATCAATTCAAGACAATCTATTTGGTTTTCTGACGATTTTTTCGATTTCTTTCCGTTACTCTTGGAGATTAAATGTACTTCCACGTCGAATCATCCGTTTTGAAAAAGCTGAAGGAAGAACTTGTAGATGCGGTAATCCCATCTGTCGTTATGGCGCCTCATTTCTTTAGAGCGCATCTTTTTCTGATTACTGCACGTTAAAGCTTACAAATAGTTACAGATTTGATAAGATTATTATTACTCCGAAGAACGGTATAAAATTTGTTCAATAAAAGAGGAAGAAATATTTTTCTAGTTACGCATAAACGTAAGCATAACGTTTAATTTTATACATATATTTTATATATAAAGTTTGCACAAAAAAGATTAATTACTTTCTGGAAAAAATATAAATAAGAATAAAAATATAATTATTTTGTATGTAAATCACCTTAAAATATTCATTTGAAACAATCTAACATACTTTTTATGTAATAACAAATGTTTACATTAATTTAAACATTATGAATTTCTATAATTTTTAGATATATTAGAGAGAATAAAAAGTTCTAAAATCTTTACTTTAAATCACGTCAAATTTTAATTTCCTAAATATATGTTATTTTCGTAGCTTTTCAATGGATTGATTAAATTTCATACATGACAGAAAGAAAATACCATTCTTGTGTAAAATGTTATATTGAAATAATGATAATATTTATTAAATTTTATAAAAGTAATTACATGTATTTGCTTTTAACTACAATTATTTATTTAAAATTTTATCCATTGCACACACACATTTCATGTTATATATAAAATTATATATAAAAGAAGATCATCTAATAGTATATTAGAAATAAATGTTAATTATTTAATACTGTTTATTGAATAAATTTATTATGCTGGCAATTTCTTTCACATTTTGTTCCTTTGAGTATCACGTCAAATAATTTGAGAAGCGAAAATATGCACTTTCTCGGCAAAAAAATATTATTAAAACATCGATAATGTTCTATAAGTGCCAAATCGATCGACAAACAACAATGTAATGAGAGACAAGTTGATTTTCTAACATTCTTTAAAGTCGGTAAATATTCCACTAAATTCGTTTACGGGTATGTGCAAACTTTTTTGTAAATGTCACGTACGCGCTTACGTCAACTTTTTTAATTTTTATTATAATGTTATAGATTTAATCCTACATTTTTAATTTACTTTTAATGAAATAAAATACATTTTTTGTAAGCATGTCAGCACGCAAAATTGCATATAATTATTCGAAAAGAAAGCTTCAATCACAATTAATTAATTAATGCAAATGCATAATTAAAGAATTTTTAAATCCTGTTTAATTTTCCTTAGCGTTAATTTCCATGTCATTTAATAAATTTTTTAATTCATAAAAGTATTATATTATATTTAACAGTAGTTATTATCGATTTTATTTCGTATAAATAGGTTCTATTTCATAAATAAATTTTTCGATCGCATGAGAGTATTCACGCGCGCATTATGCGGTGAGATATTATTCCGCGGCTCTCCACTGGTTAGAATTGCAAATGCCTCACTCTGACCACATCAAATATTTGAATAATCTTCGTTCGACAACTGATCTATCTATTTACTGTCGACGACTCATCTGAGATTCATCAATTGAATTCTATCATTAATAATCATTTTAAAAATGTAAAATTAAATTCCTCGCTATTGCGATACGTGATACCATCATCAGATCGTAATTAAAGAAGGACACGAGAATATTTAACGAGCAATTTATTACAATATCTAAAGGACTTGCTGATGTTTCTTGTCTCATTCTATCGCGAGCCTCGAGGATCAAGCGTGTCGAGCAAGCGCGACAAAGCATAGCCATCCTGGCGCGATCTCCGGTCCCAATGTAAATCCTGGAAATGCCCAGGTGACGCGTACAACAACGAGAGTCTTCCACGAAGCAAGGACCAATGCTCTAGGCACGTGGAAAAGCGGTGCAGCGTCACGACCGCCTACGCTGCCCTCCAAGGCAGCGAGGACGAGCTCGTGGCCGAGCAGGGCCTCGATACGGAGGACACTGCGTTGAAGACGCCTGGCAGTGAGACCGAAGACACCGAGGATAACGGCGCGAACGCGGAGGACGCGCCGTCGCCGGCGCGCCGTTTCACCTTCCTACGTCGCTTCCGTTCGCCACGCTTTGGCGAAGCGCACCACAAGCGGGTGCCGACGCCCATGAAGCGGAAGTATCGGCGAAAAAAGAGCAAGGAGGACATCATCGAGAATGACGTGGCCGGCGCCGAGGAGGAGGAACCGCCGAGTCCCGATCAGACCGGCATGCCTGATCCGTATTATCCGATCTACCTGCCGATCGATCAGGCCTTCAAGGCCAAGTACGTGTTCCATCATAAGAGGGGCAAGACTTTTCAGGAGCGGCTTTACGTGTTTCTCGAGCATCCCGGCGGCTGGCTGTGTTTCATCTACCATTTCGCTGTGTGAGTATCTGTTTTGCGAGCTATGTCGAGAATGAGCTCTGTTATCTCTTTGTGAATATTTTCACTGGTATTCGTTATAAACGATCGGGAAACGTATTTGAATGCATCAAAATGGGAATTGCGTTTATTTCAGGATGTTATAGTGCATGTGCGCGTTGATGTAACGCGTTAACAGTTAACCGTTAATTGTTAAGGGATGTGAATGTGAAGTACCGCGTCACAGAGGTACTTCTTGTTTCCGTTCTGCGCAGACATCGATTTCGGCATTTGGCCTTTGACACCTAGCCGTGCCCTAAATCCTCGACATCGTCGAGGATTCCTCCCGTCTCTGCAATCAAACACTCGCTCGAATCACTCTGTCTTTACCCGTGCGCGCATCAAGTCCTCGATTTGATTGGAGAACATATATAACTCACACAGGATTTTATTGCTCATCATCGGTCTGATTTGATAAACGATAATGAAGCGTCGGCAATCGAATGTCTGAAAATATCTATCAGGAACGTCAATAAAAGAGTCTTCTTGCGAGATAATGAGATTCTTTTCATTATTTTATTCGGTACAAAGAATTCGCAAATGCATGATATACAATTTGATGTATCAAATTTGCATGTGTGCAGAATATTTTCATTTATTATCCACATCCTCTATTTATTACATATATCGATATAAAAAAAATAAATGTACTAATGTTTCTTATTTTATAATATCTCTAAAATAAATAATATATATATATATATATATATATATATATATATATATATAAAACGGGGAGGGGAATCTGAATATTAGTACTCTTTATTTTCTTTACAAAGAAATCTTTAATTTCTTGCACACTAATTTAGCGAAGAACAACAGAAAATATAAAAATCACATTTAAAAATAATAAAGAAATAAAATATATTTTATATAAAAAAATGAAAAATTTCAAATTATTTCATAAAATATTTCATATAAAAGAATTTCATATCAAATTGAGTGAGTTTATTGGAACATTTTTTCAAAATAATATTTATTAAAAGTTATGACAAGATGAAATATTATATATATGTATATATATATATTTGGAAAATATTCTCAGTTATATCACAAAAATGCTAATTTTACTCTATACGGTTAAACACTGCGACAACTTTTATATAGATCATAATACTTGATAAATTAATTTGCTTTTATCAAATTTCTTCAGTCCTATCTTTTATTATGATTTGGATAAAATCGGTTTATCAAGGTACACATATCTATATGCTTCTATAAATTTCAGCTTCACATACGACACTTTTATTAAAAAAAGATAGACACATAAGAATTTGCTTCGCATTTTAACGCGAAACAAGCAGACAGAATAATTCTTCTGTCTGCTATTTTTGCGGTTGAATGTTAGGAAAGAAAACGTCTATATGTGAGTAATTTCAGTGAGTAACGGGAATAAACATTCATAGCCGTACGCGAAAATGTGTTTTCGTTATAGTGCTGCGATCGTGATGATAAAACCGATTAAACTTGTTAGGAAATGTGCTGAAAGATTAATATTTGCGCTTTAACTTTTACGAGTTAAGAATATTTGCGACACTCTGTGATAACATCTTTATTAATCGTTGTAAAAGTTTTTTTCTTGTCATTATCACCTGAAAATCATGACTTTAATTATTGAGTTCGTATTATTGTTATATTTTAGAGAAATTGAAAAAGTTTTTCGATATAAAATCTGGAATACAAGAAAAGCTAATAAAGAATTAAGAAAGCTAATCTATTATGATTCATACATCCATAGTCATTTTTATTGGTGTTATTTTTAAAATATTAATAAACAACATTACATATATACATCCATTATGTTTGTGACCTGTATACGTTGAGCCGAAGTATATTTATCTTTATATGCCCTGGCAAACACAATCCATTGAAAAACTTCATGGATTCGTGAATTATTCAACACGGGCTGTTTTTCATTTCTTCCAAACTGTCGTCAAGCACCACAGCCTTTTAAATAATTCATTATTAAGACAAAACGTGGCGAAGTATCCGCGAAACAGATCGATTCTCGTAAATATAGGTAAGGTTTTTACGTTTTTCTCATCTCGTCGATTTGCGTCGTTTTGCTCGGTTCGATTCTAATGTGCGGTCGTTAAGTAAGAAGTTGAAACCATTAAGTTTTTCTTATTTTGTTTCTCATATAGGGATATTTCACTTCTTGTGCATTATTTTTTGAAATAGAATATTTGACGTTAAATTCTTTGATGGAGTTAGGAGAAAAGATTTTTTTTATCAGCAAAAATATCAAAGCACTTGAAGAAATAATGTACAAGAAATGAAACATGTTATATGCTTGTAATTAAACTAGAAAATTTTTTTATCAAACCTACCATATTTCTTATGTATCTGAAATTAAATCCGAAATATCTCCACATTGCAGACAAATCGCACGAGTAATAAATAAGGAGATAAATCTATTTAAAGTAGGTTAATATTACAAACTTGCACACACAGTTTTCTTGAAATTAATCGAGTTATCTGAAATTTTAATGTAGAGAAAAAACCGTCATAAAATAATCCGTAATATTATTTCATTTCCCCATTTTATCTAAAAGTTCAAAATAAAAATTTATATCCATAGATGTTTACTGAATATTTATCATAAAGTAGAAAAATGAAAGGAATAAATCTTGTAGAGAATAAAGGGTATGTTCTGGGTGTGGATCTCGATGATCTCATAATATAAAAAATTAATTTCAATAATGGATACACGGTTAAAATAATTTTTCTTGCATAATACGAATTTGTATCCTATCAGGTGTCATAAGTGAAACTAATGTCGCTATCAAATTTATTATTTGAAATAAGGGAAATAATATGAATATTGCCGTTATTTATCGAGTGTCTCTGTATATTTAAAATATTTGAGATTTTCTACGATAGTTAAAAAATATTTGACAACTATTTGTCACAGAACATGCGCATGATCAGTACTCTTATCTTACATGTTACCGTACTACGTGAGATACTTGATAATAAATCGCGCTATCGAACTTTAGACGAAACGAAAGTCAAAACGTTACAGTCGGAAATTGCTACGGAAGTGTCTTTCATTTTGTGCGCCCGATGGTACTGTCGTCATGTCGCGCACGCCATTCATTTCCGGAAACATATATCTATTTTTCCTGCATACTGAAAATATATAGGCTATATTCACATAATACATTTCTGTAATTATTTCTCGAAACAATATCTACTTTTATTTTTTGCGTTTGCTTCGCATTTTAAAATCTTAATTTTAAGAACAAAAATGTCCTATATAAAGAAATATTAGAATTGTTAATTAATTATTATTACAATATTTACAAAGATTTAATCTTTTTGCGCGCATTCAGATGATTTAATTCTTTTATATCTTTAATATTTTTTTGCTACAGTAAAAAACGTGCATATCTATTATAAGTACGTATAAATTCTATTTACATTTAAAACATGAGCATGTAATATTTTTTAATGCATTTTTACATTTCCGTACAAAATATTAAATTTATAACATTTGTTATAATTGGAAAAATTTGTCAGTATACAAATAAATTTTTCATAAATTCTTTAATTACACATGATCATAATCTTCGCGACTAAATATATGGCCTCCGTGTGGCTTTAATACTACGTCGTTTACAATAGTTAGACAGCCGACTAATGAAGTCGCACTGCACGAAACGCTACTGTAAATATTTAATTGTCCGAGTGATCGTATTGATCGGCGCTATAGTACCCGTTATCATCTATTATTGTACTATTACTATCCCGCCAAAGTGATCGAGAAGTGGGAGGAGTAAGTGGAATAAGAGTCATTTAATCCGGATTTCACAGAGAATTGTATTGCCCCCGTTTGTATTATTGTTTGTAATTGCACACTCAACTGGAATACATGGTGAATGTAATTCTTAATCATTGACAATAATTTATTTTTTTATTTCAGTTTTCTCTCTATTTATTTCAATCATTAAGAATAAAATATCAAAATTCTAGAAATTAATTCAGGACAAGAATTTAATTCTCTCATTAAAATTAAATCATACTTGAAAGAAGTTAGAAAAAAGAAAGAAATTTAAAATTCACATTAATCACAAAAATGTCAGACTAACAAATGATTTTTTTCGAAAAACTCGAGTCATAAGTAATTCAATTTATCCATCGACTTTGAAAATGTCAGTTAAGTTTAAAGCGTATCGTCTCACATGCATTGTTATTGCATTAGATAAAAGAAATTTCCTAACAAAAGTAATTTTAATTCGACCGGCCTACTTTCAAGCGAACATAAATAGCAGCGTGTTATTAGGCCCAATGCATATGCAAGCTATTTGCGTGCGGCCTATTATTTTTAGATGAAAATCGCGCGCGCTGATGTACTGATATCGTGATATATAATGACACCCGTGGAGATTACATATCACGCCGTAAAAAATCGTTACTAAATTTTTTAAGTAATTGAAACGCGATCGGACAAGCGCGAGTCCGAAGACAATCGATTGAAAATCACGATCGAATTCTATATATGTAATTATATATCTTACATACGTGTAGAATAATAAAAAATATTCAAGTAATGCTTAGAATTTGTTACTCGGAAATAATTTGGGATAATGCGATTTCACAAAATTGCATAAATTTCTATCGCACATTAATATTACTTTTTAATTAATTGAATTTATTCAGTTGATTTTACTTCAGCAGAATATACCTCACTGACCTTTTAATTTTTCCAATTTGAAGCAAGAGGAATTATATTCACATCGATCGCATCGATATAGTATTATATGCATTAATTACTCCCTTTGTCAATTCGTTTTATTTAAGGGTGCAACAACCCCATACGCACATATTCAAATGCAATTTTCGAGGAAATGATTATAAAATGTAGACATGTTTATTTACATATATCGAATCAGATCACGATCGGAGAAGTTTATGTTATTCCAAGCCCTCGAATCCATTTGTAATTAAGCTGTGATGAGTATGAATAAAGGACGCGATATGGGGTATGACGTTATTGCCGTAGGAACCGCACACGCACGCTCTATCTCTCCCCGTATCGCATGTAGGTTAATTGATATGCAGGAGATGCACAATATACGGGTGTACACGTTCAATCATTTTATACATCTTTAGCCGTAAGCAACATATCGCGTCGCTCCACGATGCGCGCGAACATTAATATCGATAATTAAATTTTAGTCTATCAAGCAGCTCGATTGTTTTGATTATCCAGTAATGAATTCATCCTTTCTGTGTAAAGACAAAGAAAAAACATCTTTATAAAATTTATATCGAAATTTATATCAAAATATTATCTTCTCTTTAAATAAATAAATAAAATGCTCAAAATCATCGAATTCTGTTTCAACTTTCACGTTCGACAACAAAATTTGAAAGACAAGTCTTAGAACAAATTGACTCGGCGATGCTCGAATTATTATATTTGCATTTTATTATACGCTGACATTTTCACAACCAAATAAAAAGCGTATTATTCACGAATAGCAAGATATCTGTCCGACACCCGGCAGAAGATGGATGAGTTCCGAACGATGCTCGAGGAAAAAAGGAAGAGTATGTTAGACAATTATCATAGTAGGTCGATGAAGGTGACTCGTGCAGCCATGGAGCACTGTACATACATAACATCGGAATGATAGGCCCTCGGCACGCTATCTTAAAGAGTACTACGCGGCAATCGTCTGCCCACCTTCGTTAATGCCGCGCGCTCGTCCCGTTGCTTAACGAGGCAACACGCTCGATAATAAATTACAACGAATATAAACAGCAAGAGCGTGCTAGATCGATCGCTAGATCGTAGCAATTACCGGTCCCGTTCAGACCACAGATACGCAAAGTTTGTCTTGCTGTCTCGCCTTGTTTTTTCTTTTTTCTTACGTCCTCGATTCGCACACAATGTGTCGATTAGGTGACGATTAGGATTCGCGATAAAAAGCGAGGCATTTTTAAAAATTAGTTGAATCCTAGGGAAAAGAATTTATGTGCACAAAATACTAGAGTGCAAATAAATCTCTATATATCGAGATTCCTCTTACATTTGTTAAGCTGCTTTGGAACCTACTCGTACATTAGGATCGATTGCAATCCTACATTATGTATGACTATAAATTCAGTTGTATAGGGATTATATTGCATCTCTATTTTAACACATTAAAAACATGTACATTTCAAGAATTAGATTTATACAGGAAAATATGTTGTTAGGGAACTAAAATTAGTATTTATGTACGTCTCTATCTACTTTTATATAATTAATCTTCATAAACTCTATCAAATTTATTATATTTATGGAAAACATCTATCTAGATATTTTATTTTTTAACACCAATACATGCATAAGAAATAAAATATTTTTTGATATAGATACTTTATGTTTAATAAAAGTTTTTTTTCATATGTACATAATATATCCCATAATATATCCATAATATATATAGAATATACCATAATAAACATAATTATTTAATTTTATATAATATGAAAGAATTACATTTTTTATAAGCATAGTATTTATACTTATTGTTATTCGCAGTTATTAAATATTTTTAAATGCAATACTTTAAAATAAATATTTTAATATCTCTATACCTTAAACATGCATAATAATGATTTTCAATACAAATAGTTCATAGAATGAAAATTTTGTCAAGTTAAAATTTAACTCTTATAATTGACAAATTAATAAATAGATAAAGAAATTAGGCTCTGTAATGTATTAGACAACAATCCGAGAAAAGAGCGATTAAGAGCCATCGCGGATGGTAGTGCGTAAAATTTTTAAAGATTAGTAATTCGCGAAAATTAAAACGCGTGAAAAACATATGCATATATTTTACTTGATGCATTAACCAAGATATAGATTCTCAATTCGAGAATACTATAAGACCCCTCTTTACCCCCTTGAAGAGACGTAAGCGAGAAAAATATCTTACGTCTCTTCAGGGGGGTAAAGAGGGGCTTATAGTATTCTCGAATTGAGAATCTATATCTTGGTTAATGCACCAAGTAAAATATATGCATATGTCTTTCACGCGTTTTAATTTTCGCGAATTACTAATCTTTAAAAATTTTACGCACTACCATCCGTGGTGGCTCTTAATCGCTCTTTTCTCGGATTGTTGTTTCTTATAATTGAGATAGTTATTATGCCTTCCTTCTGTGTATAGTTGATATAACATATTTTAATTTAAAAATTTTATTTTATATTAATTAATCTGTCATAATAAAATGTTATAAATAAATAACAAGTAAAATAAATAAATAAAAAAGTTAATTTATGTACAAAGATCGATTTTGCTAAATGTGTGATATTCAACATCATTTCTCTAAATGATTAATATTTAATATATAATTAATTTATATTAAATTTCTCTATTGAAAATATAAATTGAATAGAAAGGAAGATAGAATATAATGTACAGAAAATATCAGAAAATGTCGAACGTAATTTGCAGAAAATTAAATATTAAATTACTTATCGATTTCATCATATTTTTCTGAAAATGGTGTCTCGTGAATTTTTTATGAAATGTAAGGTAACAAAATAGTTATCACAAATGTCCTCTATGAATATTTTTATACTAAATCGATACGAGACATATGTAATCTTGATCGATAAATATCACGAGCGCTTAGATATATATATTTTGATAATATTCTTGTACAAGTTTGTTTAAGTATAAAGTTACGCTTCGCAACGTTGGCAATCAGTAACATAGCTGTCTAGTGTATCACGCCTCGTAGTTTGTCGAGTAATTTATCAGTTTGACTAAACTCAAATGACATATAGTAGTACGGCGAATAACTTGCCCTTTCGTGGCGAGAAAAACAGGTAAGCTTAAGAGTTCCTTCTATTATTCCGAGAATAAAGACAAAGTTCTAGATGACGTACAAGCTAGCATGCAATACAATGCATAGTCATAATTTATATCACATTTTATTTATAAAGCATTTTTTTACGAATAATATTTATATTGGTGTCGTATAAAGTATTACATTTATATATATCACATATATGTATTATATCAAATTTGATATGCGATCTAGATTATCGTTAATGTAGACTTATATCAAATTTTACCACATAATGCGTTTCAAAACTATGATACTTCCTTTATTTCGACATTATCTTCAATCTTATATATCAACTGTAATTACGTTTCTCATTACCTATTCGCGCAAGAAAACAGATTCCATTATCTTGTAAGAATCTCTAGCTAAAGGAAAGTATAATAGTTCCAAGACATTCTATACTAACTTTGTTCTTCGGCGATTACCATAAGCGCATCACGAAACGTCCGAAAGTTCGGTATATTCTTTTTAGTGGTGCAAGAATGGTTAAGTTTGAAGCTCTTTAAAAGGAGAGAATAACGGGCGAGCATTTGATGAAGAATCTAAAGTCGCTTTAAATATAAACCTGACTTTAATGTATGACGTTCTACTCTTTCAATTAATCAAGTTGTTCATCTAAATGAAATTTTGTAATAGAATAAAGTTTCGTTCAATTCGCCATATAATGCAGAGTGCGATGAAGAATCTAAAGTTGCTTTAGATATTAATCTGATTTTATGACGTCCATGCTTCTAATTACTCAAGCTGCTCGTCTGGACGCAAGTTTACGATAGAACTAAACTGCGATCAATTTATCTTGTATACATTGCAAAATGTTTTCCTTTGCAGGTTCATGGTGGTATTGGTGTGCCTCATATTTAGCGTTTTGTCAACGATAGACCAATACAGTAATTTCGCAAACGAAACTCTGTTTTGGATGGTGAGTAATCCATGTTTGTTATTAAATATAATATAGGATATAGAAAGTGTAATTAAGACTAAACACACGGTATTAAAAGTACTACTACTCGTATAATGTGCATCATATTGTTAAAAGACTGAAATTATAAAATTAAGAATACATTCTATCATATCCGCATTGATATGTATACATATATAAACGAAAAAAACAAACATTCGATCCAAGACCCTTTTATTTATAATTTTTTTGATTAATTTTAAATCAATCACTTTTAATATCGAAAGAGAGATCGTTATTTTATTAAAATGCTTCGATATTATATATACTTGTATTTTAATATTACATTACATCCTTGTAATTAATATATATCTTTGAATTGAAAATCTATCTCAAAGTCTACTTGAAATTAAATTAAGAAAATGTAAAAAAAACATTTTATTATTTATATTTATAGATATAAATAATAATATTATATAAAATATAAAATAATAATAGATATAATAAATTATATAAAGAGAGTTAAATTCCGAGATTTGGTTCCAAAATAGTCCTTTAACTTCTAAATAATTTTTATTTTGAAATTGGAAAGTCATATTTCAATATTTTCCTTTAGATAAGATTGACTGAATTCAAAGTGATCAAAAGATCCGCAGATATAAATATATATATATATATTATATAAATTATGTATATAAATTATGTATATATTATGTATAATTATGTATATAAATTATGTATATAAATTATATATATAAATTATTTTTTTATATATTCAAAATCCAAACTCATTGTTTTATCTCGAGGAAAAGTTAATATAAATATTCTAGATTATATACAATGATACAACGAAATGATTTGCAAAGTGCAAGCAATAAATAATGATTAGAGTTTCATAGACAAGGATTTCGAAATAAAGAGATATAAGAATAAACTTTATTTAATTAATCCTTGAAAAGAAAAGTTTACATTTGTTAGCCCACCCGAGAATAGACTTTATAACAGAGTTCCTAACGGAACTTCTTTTCCTTCTGTCGTTGTTCGAGGCTGCACAAATAAAATTAATTCTTCCTCTTTTATATTAGAAAAGGAAAAAGTCAAACCTTTTTTGTAAAAGTTTTATAACTATTCTATAAAATCTATTCTATAAAAATTAAACAAATCAGTTTTAATGACAATGCGAGTCAAGTGTCGATCTTATAACACAGTTATTTATTATACAAAACAAATAAATATGAAACAATAAATACAAATGTGAAAAGTTTGCGAACGTTTCGACCCTATTTTTGAGCCATTTTGACAATCAGATTAATCAGATAGATAATCATCACACTTGCGCTGAATGGTCCAAAAATAGGGTTGAAACGTTCACAAACTTTTCACATTTGTATTTATTGTTTCATATTTATTTGTTTTATATAATAAATAACTGTGTTATAAGATTGACACTTGACTCACATTGCCATTAAAACTGATTTGTTTAATTTTAATATTTTCGAGTCTAAAATATTTTTAATAATTCTATTCTATAAAGTTATACAAATTGTATAAAATTATTGATACGAAAAATTGCATTGTTCGCAAATCAATATTTCGCGTTATATAAAAAGTTAGGCGATATTTTCAACTTTTTGTAACGCAAGTAAATACACATAAAACACAAAGCTCGGCTGAGTTCTGAGTTATAAAAGAGAGATATACATATAGTAAAGCAGTTCTCAAGGATCTCTTCCGCTTCGTTGCGATTCTAACGTCCTCGTCTTTCTAGGGCGTCCTATTAATGCAACAGCACTAGTACAATCGATACAATAATCACCTGAATTCATATGCCAACCGTGTTCATTACATATTCATTTTAACGATATGATTACCAATATTTATATTAATCGCAATTTTTTTCCTATTAATATTGGATGATTAAACTAAATTGTCTATCACATTATCGAATGTTTGATCATTTTCACTTGAATGTCACATGTTGATAACTAATAATATTTCTTTGATCACTATAGTTATATAATATACGTATATCAGTTAATTGAATCGTGTATATTTGCATATATTAAACTTGTATAGAATTAATATATTTTTTAATAATTTTGTTTTCATCAATAACAATAGTAATAAAATAATAGTGATAAATGATAAGCTATTTATATCTTACATAATTTTAAAAAGAGAAAAGGAAAAAAAAATATATATATAAATTAGAAAGATACAATAAAAAAAAAACTTCTTTAAACTACATTTCTCTGCTTGCTCTTGTTGCTTCTACAAAGCGTAAATGGACATCTTATCTTAAATTAATCTTATTTTAAGTATAACTTGTATTTTTTTGTAAGCCTTGAGAACGATAAATTTGTTACATTTTTTATAATAATGTATAATAATCTTTTAGAGATAAATCTAAGAAAAAAGAAAAAGGAAGCATGAAAAGTAAATTATACAACTTTTATTATATAAATATTATATATAAATTATAATTTTAAAACACTTGGAAAATCTGACTATGAAATTTTATATATATGCAAGAAATATAAGTAGCGAGAGATATAATGGTAACATAAATATAACTAAAATAGATAGGTATGATTGCTTTTGGATAATATATTGAAGTATAAAAATTCTCTCTTTTCTTACATTTATCTCTTTTATTCGGTAGACAATATTTTTGCGTCTCAGTAACAATGCTTGTATCGAGCAATTGATTTAATCAGGCCGCGCAAATATATTTAGCCGGAATCAAAATATATAACAAAGGTGTGCGCTAATGTGAGATATCTAATTATGATTATGATGTCCGAATGAACATGACATCTGAGTTTAATACTTCATTACTGTTCAGGAAATATGTCTCGTGGTATTCTTCGGAGTCGAGTACATGGTTCGATTATGGAGCGCGGGTTGCAGATCGAAGTACATGGGTTGCTGCGGGCGGCTACGATTCATACGGAAACCGATTTGTATCATAGGTGAGTTGTGCGGGTGTCCTCGTCCCATAATGGCAAGCCACGTTGCGGCCCGAAACGCGATATGGCCGAAATTAATCCGATATTCGCATTGTCGGATCGACGGCAAAATTGGATCGTGAGAATCATCCCTTTGTATTCGTATCGCTTGTAGAACCGTTTGCGTAACCAACTTTGCGAGATTAGGCCCTGGCCCTAATATCGAATCCATTTCGCTAAAATCAAGATTGCGAGCGCTTTGTGTATCGCGGTTGTTCGTTTTGCCGGACGCGTTTCACGAATGAAACACACGCGAATAAAATTCCTCTCTTAATTGCAAACCCAGTTAAAAATTGATTATTTGTCCTCTGTTTTGAATTTTACTTTGCAATTACGTTGATGATGAAAATATATTGTCGAAATCGTAAATGCAAGAAAAAATACACACGTTTATTATCTCAAATATTATGAAAAATAAAAGCAGAAATTTCTTTATATTAAATATATCAATTAATTTAAATTATTAATTGCTTCAATTTACTTGATTTATAAATTTATAATCCATACATCATTATAACTTGCAAAAGGCAAAACCGAGAAATGATATGTTCGAGCAAAATTCTCCAATCATGCGTATACTCGCAATTGATGAAAATCAGTGTATCTGAATTAATCATATTTTTTTTATTTTCGTACATCACGTTTACTGCACAGTAACAAACAGTGTAATAAAACGTAATATAATGCACGCGTAATAAAAGTTACTGTTACAGACATTTTTATTCGATTATATATCTATTATGTAGAAATTTTAATTCCACTATATAAATAAATTAATCGCGGTAAATTAATCACGTTCCTCGATATATTTCTCAAATAATTAAAAGTATGCACTTTTATCTTGTTTCATTTCACCTATAAACACCAAAGTATGGAACGGTAATCGTAGAAAATAGATCATTATTATTAATATGCCGGTTGCAAAAAAAATGATCGGAATCGTACGCGCTTTTATCGCAATTTCATAGCACGAATGTGTGGCAAGAGAATTATTATTTTCAATCGGTAAATGAATTTTGCAGATAAATGATAACGTCGGATTAAACATTAATAATCGGATTAGATGCGTGGTGAATTTATCGATTATACAGCCGATTATACATCAATATTCTATACATGCCGATCAAAAATATTTATCGTATTCTAATGGATGTGTGCAGCAATATTGTGCACTGTCTATAATTATAAATGTATTACATATACGAATTTATTCGATTATTCCTTTATATTGTACTTTACATATATTTCTTGTCTGTTTTTAGATTTAATCGTTGTGGTAGCGTCCATGGTGGTTCTATCAGTGGGAAGCAACGGTCAAGTATTTGCCACTTCCGCCATCAGGGGTATTCGATTTTTGCAAATTCTTCGAATGCTTCATGTCGATCGTCAGGGCGGCACGTGGCGGCTTTTAGGTTCCGTGGTTTTCATACATCGTCAGGTACATCGCCACAAAAAGTTTCTAATTTTAATACATCAACATCCGAAATTTTAATTATTTTAATTATCTATAGAAAATTAAAAACGTGTGTGTATGTGTAAATATGCGCAAAATATATATATATTTTATATATTTTTATAAAATACAAAATATTTATATTAATACTTGAAAAATAATTGTATTTCCTTTATATTACAGGAATTAATCACAACGCTATACATTGGGTTCTTGGGCCTCATTTTCAGCAGCTACTTCGTGTATCTTGCCGAAAAAGATGCAGTCGGACCTGACGGCAAAACAGACTTCTCCAGTTACGCCGATGCGCTTTGGTGGGGAGTGGTGAGTATGTCTCTCATTACGGATTTTTCTATCAGACATCTCTTATATCAGCATGTAATTTTGCGACAACTTATTGTTGGAAGAAAAAATCTTTTAATTACTGAAATACATTCAAAAAGAATAGAGAGTTCAATTATAAAGGAAAAAAACTCTTTGTCTCTTCAATGAAAATAAAATGCAATAAAGAATTAAATCAATAAAATTTTATGAATTCTATAAATCATTAAATTTTATGAATTCTATAAATCATTAAATCGATGATATTTTATGAAGGATATACGAGTATGCCACTTGAAGAAAAACAATGACATATGAATAGTTAATTAGTGACGAAAAATTGCGAAGAGATCGACGAATGATAGTAATCGCGGAAACAATCGAATCGCAATTTCGATCAATGATCATCTGCAGATAATTGAAATCAACACTTATATAGAGTGCATGCGATATATGTAGAGTACTTATCAGAGCGCTAATATGCGCTAATTAATAGGATTAACTGACTGGATTTCATGGGTTAACAAACATGTTGACAAACTAGATGTCAACTGTTTGCGTAGCGAAAACCCCTCAGGCTTAATCCTGCAGAGATATTGTATCACACATGATAATTTTACCTGTGTTAACAATGAGACATAATGAAAATTTAATACTTTTTGGTATTGCAGATCACAGTAACGACAATAGGTTACGGTGATACGGTTCCGCAAACATGGATGGGAAAAATTGTGGCTTCATGTTTCAGCGTGTTTGCTATATCCTTTTTCGCACTTCCAGCTGTGAGTACATATTTTTTTATTTCAAAAATTTCGTTCATTATTTATAGATTTTTCATTCCGACCAAAATTAAAATCGATCTTTTTTCTGAAATATCTACAAAGATAATTCAGAATTTTTTGTTGCTATTTTAATTTGTAGTATATATATTATAATACTGCAAATTAAAATATTTTAATTTATAATATTATATAATAACTTTAATTACGTCTCAAATTCAATTCTGCCTTTTTAATTAGATTAATTCAATTCAATTCAAAAAGATTCTATCAAAAAATTCTATTTTTTAAATTAAACAATTATTATTCTATTATTCATTTCTCTAGCGCTTTCTCAATTTCCAAAAAATCTTTATTCTCGATTGTTTATAATTTAAAAATTACAAATCTCTTGATATTATCATACAGAAGTAATCAATTCGAAATTAATCAAGAGAAAAATTTAAATATATATATATATATATTTGCAAGTCCATTTGATAATTTTGACTATTTATTTCCACGCAATAAAGCGCAAGTAGATCATTATCTCGAGTGGGTGTTTTTCGCATTTCTTTTAGGGTATCCTAGGTTCCGGCTTCGCATTAAAGGTACAGCAAAAGCAACGGCAGAAGCATTTTAATCGACAAATACCAGCTGCCGCGATGTTGATACAATGCCTGTGGAGGTGTTACGCTGCCGACAAGGCCATCAACAGCGTCGCCACGTGGAACATCTACATCAAGGACCCGGCGCCAACCGGACAGCCTTCGACACCCCTTGGCAAGGTAACCTTTCTTCGTTTGCGAATATAGCGAAGAGCGGGAGAGGTAGCCGTATTAGTTGTTGACTGTTGATGTTCTTAGCTGCTTATATAATGTTCCTTGACGTGTTCTAACTGATCGTGCCGCGAACGATTACCGTGTCACAAGCGAGACGGATCTAATCCGAATCTCGTAATCACTCCGTTGAGGCTCGCGAAAAACCGCAGCTCCTTTTCCCCTTTGTCGAGCACGCTAATGGATTTGAAATTACCCCCATTGTACTTCGCCCAATCCGCATATCGTACATCTCCGAGCTAATTGCTAAGGTCTCCCGACTTTTATCACGATTACGTCCCACCGCGCGATCGGATTATCGACTAATACAGAGTCGTGGAGTAGCCCGCCGTTTGTACTCGCTTCGTATATTCCTTTAAGCGGATTTCGAGAAATCAAATTTGTTCTATGTCGTCGATTTGTGCCGCGCGAGTAAGCAGCTTGAAAGAATGATATATACGAAATATAGAACAATAATCGTACGTTTTTCGGAAGCAATAGTTGGGACTAAATAATTAGATTTTTAATTAAAACGAATAGATTTTTCGCTTTTTGAAACAAAATTTATATTCAAAATTTAGTTCAAGCGAATCTCAATATAACAGACACCTTTTATACATCCTCGGCCAAAAATACGAAATATTTTTAATTGGCGATCAATAAATCAAACTAATCAAGCATTCAATTACCATGTCATGCTAAATATATCGAAATAAGGTTCATACAAAAGGTGTTCGTCATGTTTATTAAATAAAATTGAGAAACGAAAAAATAGACTAGTGAAATTTGCCACTGACTTTAATACACTTTTTTAATTTTTATTTAGTGAAAAGGTTTTTAATTTTTTTAAAAAAGATTCTGGATTTTTAATACATTTCTTAATATAAAACTTAATAGAGAAACAAACATTTTACACATATCAAATTATTGTACAAAGTATAAAAAATGTGTCGTAATCCTAAATTCGAACATTGATTATTGATTTAATTTATTATTAATAGATTTATTCTTAATCTAATAGATTTACTCGTTATATTTATAACGATAAAATTATAAATGTCATTAGATTTCGCGCCTCTCATTTTACGAATTTTGCAAATGTATTTGAAATGTAGTAATGATGTAACATCGAAGCTGTACAATTTTATCGAATATTCAGCATATGCATATATGAGACTGCTGTTAAAAATTTTTATAACAAAATTTTCCACGCGACCGTGTTCTACGCATAATGATGAGAGGGAATTCGCGAGGAAATCCGTCGTCTAATATTATTCGTCGTTATAATCGTATATTAATAATGATGGTCGTGTATTTTTATTTGTCCGACGATAATTTGGCAGTGGATGGATGCAAGCGGAGAATGCGAATTTTGCTCGATGTTCTCAATGTGCCGTTTTTTATCGCCGAGATCCGAGACAATTTTGTTTTTCCTTCATGTTGTGCTAGTCACATACGTGTGTTTATGCAGTTAAAGATGCGCTTAGAAGCTTTTGTACATTATCTCCCCTTTTACGTATCAAGTAACGAGCATTGCGCTTTGGTTTTTATATTCGTTCGTTTTGATTTCATTTACAGAGTGCATAATGCGGACGATTTGCCCCCTTTTTTAATGGACTAATTTTTATCTTTTCAATATATGTCCTTATGGTTTTAAATTTAACATATCATTTATTAGTTGGAATGCTGAGCACATGAGATATATGTGTATATCGGAATATTTTCTAAAATATTATATAACAAATATTATAGATTTGTTTTTTTTTTTTACGTGAAAATGGTTTAAATTGGGCAACCTTGTAAAACTCCAATCAGCAAAATTTATTGCTTATATACGCGTGAATAGTTTTATTTTTTATATGTAAATTTATACCTGTAATCTAATATAAGTAAAATTGCAAAGGTATTTTTATACCGTTCTTTAACTGTGATTCTGTCATATTGCGTAAATATAATGTTCATAAGAAATTAATTTGTTAACCTATCATCATCTATGGGTTTCTTTTCGTAGAGTATTGTCTTTTTTAAATGAATTTGTACCTCACATTATCGATTGAAGAATAGCTTCAATAGTTGTCATCCTCAAATAAATTGGTTTTTGAATATACGAGTCAAATAACGAATGCGATATTTTTAGAACGACACTTGGTTTTTCAATACGGCTGCGTTTGATTTCCATTTTCGATTATTATCATCGAAATAACTATTATATTTTTGTATTTGTATTCCGCAACGTGTCCAAACATCGTAAAATTACTCGAACAATGGAAAATGCAGATGCGAGCGATGTGTCCAAAATCAACGGCATTTATGGCTATTACAGCATTATACAATAAATTTATGACAGGAAAATTTGAAAAACTACCAGACTTCAATTAGCCTTCAATCGGCACATTTTGCATACGCTCGATTATGGAGCGATTGTACTAATAATATTGTCTCCATTTTGCATCTGCTGCCAAAGTTCTCGAACACCGTGTCAAAAACGCGTATATATCGAGAGAAAGTGCTGTGTTTCTGCGACACATTATTTAAAATAGTAAACAATGCTCAGTGATGATTTAATGATGATAAAATATACCTAATATATATATTTCAGTTGATTTGTGTAAAGAAGATGGTATGTAAATGGTTTATATTTATTTCTATTCTTATCTATCTTTTGCATGTTTATTTTTTCCCAACTTTTTATCACATTTCTTTATACATTTCTGTTACACCATGAAACGTCTATCTTTTATATTCTGTAAGAGGGGTCACTGTATTCTCACTGTGATAGCTAAATGTAGAATATATACATATTGAAAGATTTATAATGACAAAATACTATACTTTCGCCGCATATTTATTTTTAACGAAGGTACTTTATACTCTGAACCTTTACCTCATTATATGTAATCACATTTAATATTAAGATTTTAGAAGGAAATATTCATATGTTTGTAAATGTATCATTCAAACAACAAATATGCATTTCTTTAAACTTAAATTTTTTATCTTAATTTTTTGAATTTTTTCTCTTATCCTATTTTTATTTAAAAATATATTTTTCTTTTTAATTTTATCTTATTTTTTATTCAATACATATTTTCGGATAGTTTAAGAAAAAAATAAAAATATTGATCAATTTTTCTATAATAAAAGCTGGAAAGATTAATTAAAGCTGTTTATTAAATTGTTATTCTTTTAGACTATGAAAAAATCACATTACGTTCGAAGAATTAAAAGTGCGATGAAAGTATAGATCGAAATATTTATCATCACAGAGAGAATAACCGTAAAAATCTTTCCTACGAAAGATAAAGCAATGGCAATTACATCGCTTTTTAGCTTTAGTGTAGATAATTTTTAGATAATTCTTTTTATCTATTTATATCGAGAGACGTTTCTGCTTGATTGGAATTTTTTTATTTATTCTCGAAGCTACAAATGTCAACGAAAACAGACCAGATACACACAGCCATTAACTTTCTTCTTTTTTTTTCGACAAAACAAAATGATTCGCTAGCGATTGAACAAGCTACTTCTTCTTGGACGAGTGAGGCTTTGCATAAGCTCCTTAAAGCTTGCCGACGAAGGAACAATAATCATTTGTTTGATCGTATTTGTGCTTCTATATACTTCTGGCTTACGTATTTTTCTTGGCGCACCATTACGCTGCTTTCTTGGATAACCATCGGTATCATGTAATATATAAAAGTGACTTTATCTTATACTTAGCAATATTTTAACATGCACGAGCTTGAATAATACATCAGATTTGTAGCTATATATGTATGTTTGTGTGTAATGTATGTGTGCGCGCGCGCTTACTTCTTGCCTCTGCATCAATCTGCAAAGCGAAAAGACTGGAATCTCGCTCAAACGCAGAAATGTGTGGGATTTTACGCCGGTCTTGCGGCTTGACAAGTCTCTGCATGAAAAATACGAGTATTAAGGAAAGAGAAAATGTCGGAAAATCGGAAGATGTTTTATATACGAAAGATTTAAATGTCGATTACGAGCAGAATGTTTTTAAGATTTGTTTTTGTCAAATATAACCAGCCTATTTTATGACAAAGTTTTGTTGTATAAATAAAATTAAATTTAAAAAGAGGGAAAACATAAATGACAATATAAATGACAAATCTGAAAATAAACTTTTTTTATAGTTATTATTATCACATATTATTTATTCGATTTTTCATGATGATATTTTATATTTTTGTAATCATAATGATCCCTCCGATGAAATATAATTTACAATTTTTAGTATAATATGATCGTGTTTCTCATATAAAATGTATTACTTTTCTAAACACGTCTATGTTTGTATAAAATGTCCTCATCAGGACGATTAATAGAATACGCTGATATAAACGAGACATTTTAGCAACATTCTGCGCTTACAATGTAAAATTTCGAGAATAATGGAAGAAGAGAGCACGCGCTTTAATGCGTGTACAATGCACTCGATATCGATAGTACGCCCCGGGGACTGTTCCGGTTCCGGAGTGCGGTTACATCGAGCCGTTTCATGTTGAAAGGACATAAACGACATCGGTTCGCGACCGGCGTAATTTCCCACAAACGTTCCGGACATCCCGCGGGAGAGATCGTCGCTTTTGCACGATATACTCCAGATGATAATGATGATAATGATGATGATGATAATAATAATGATAATAATGATGATGACGATGACGACGACGATGACTTCGTCGTGCTAGGAGAAAGAGAGTGGTCAAACACATTCGGCCAGTAGGGATAGTGCATGTTTTGTTCGATGTGTGTTGTAATGGGAGGGCACCGGGGGTTCAGTCTCTGATGATCCAGGTGGCAAAGAAGGCGAGCGTGCTGAAGAGGCGGAAGTCGCGGAATCGGATGGATGGCCAGCAGCAGCAACAGCAATCGGCCGTGCCGCCTGTCACGATATCCGGCGGCATATCAGCTGGCGCCGGAACTGGCCAGAACGACAATCAACGCCTCGAGAACGAGGGGGACGTGGTTTTTTACATGGAGGAGCCTAAAGCGGGCACGCCGAATCGCGCCAGACGCGACAATCGGTGAGTGATTGAATTCCTATAGAATCAAGAGAGAAATTTCCGTTGGGTTTGTTTCATAACTGATTCTATGCGTATGTAAAAATAACCGGATATGCGTATTTGGATCCTTTATACATTAATAGAACAATCAAAAGATATGTAAAAATAATTTATGTACACACGAAAGATTTCTTTCTCAATTTCGTTTCAAATATTGTCGGGGAGAGAAATTAGAATATATGTATATTAAGATAATAGAGAAAATTATTTCGACTTTCCAATCAATATTATTCGTTAGTATCATACACTGCAATTTGAGTTTAAATTTGGTAACAGTGCGATAAATTTCACGGCGTCACCTTTAATGGACGGATTTCTGTCCATTTCTTCGAGCGGAAGAGTCGCTCGGAAGCTTCGTTTACAGCTCAGTAAAGCAACGGAGATGAAGGTGGTACCATGAAATTGGCGAGCTTCTTTCTGAATGCTCGTTGCCTTTATCGTCGAGTAGGTTCGAATGAAAAGTGTATTTCGAGTGAGGTGTTTCGATAACTCCTAGGTAATTGCTCGTTGATTCTCAAGGGTGAAGATACATTCGTTTGCAAGAACACGTATAAGCGCGTTTATCGTCAAGAATCTTTTACAATTAATTTCGAGCGAAATTTCTTGAGTGACACTTCACTTTAATAAAACAGCATATTAATCAATTTGCTTGTTTGCTGTTTTATTTTAAAAAATATTTAAAAAATAATGGATTGTTCGCTAAAGCTGAAATTTCCTTTGAATACTAATTTGACAAATATGTCAAAAATTTAATAATATAGCTATATCAGGGAACATTAATTTTTTCTCAACAACGAAGTTCTCATATGAAAAAATTTCATTCTATATTTTTAGCTTATTTATGAAGAATCATCTCCTTTTCAGTTGTATTATGTTTTCCAATTCACTTTATATTATCATATCACGTTTGCACATTAATTCGATGTGTTCAAGAAATTAAAAGATTAAAGATATTAAATAATATTTATGCGTAATTCAATAAAAAATTGCAAGGTTTCTATTTACAAATAATAATAACAATAATAGGAAGAATAATTTAATTAAAACACATTTATCGATATATTATACATAAATGTCATTTGATATCTTCCATCAGCTTTCAAACATATTAGTTAACGATGTTTTTGAAAGTTGATGACGGATATGATATGATATTTATACGTAATTTGTCTCTAAAGAATCGTGAATTTTCAATGAGTAGTAAATTTGCCGCATTATTAAAGGAATTATTTGGATTATAATATTAGTATCAAATAAATATTATAATTAATAAGATACATAAAGATTTATTATTATAATTAATAGACTTATAAAGGTAATATCTTTCCTAACGTTTAACGTATTAAGTTTTATCATAAAGATAACTAGAAAGAATCTTTGAGCGCATATAAAATTCCGACAAATCGCAGCATTACATTGCACGAGACAATATTTTGCTTTTGATTGATGTGAGTTCAGAATTCACATCTGCGATATCATCGCAGTACAATATTTCAAAACAAAGTGTAAACTCTCGTTTAATTATCTGTTATTTGTACCGGCATAGTATCTGTTAAAGTATCTCCCAACGGTATTTCTCTCCATTGTCAAGGGATGCAATCCAACAAATTGCTCTGGAGAAAGACTCTCGGAAGTTGTGTGATGAAAGCGGAATAACGATGCAGTATCAGGTGCATTAGGCGACCAAAAGATCTTAACATTTACTAAATACGTGTTTAATGACACTTTCAGAAAGAAATCTTCACGTAAAATATTGTGACAAAAGAAATTAGAGAAAGATTCGCTAAGAAACATATCGATTTTAAATTAATTCTAAGAATCTGTAATTAATAAAACAGCAATCAATATGAAAATATATTGATAGCAATATGAAAATTTATTAAGCCATAATAAATGTTAAAATATTATCAGATAAATACTGACGATTCTAACGGATAATAGAATTATTAATATTTTCTATTTCTAGAAGACTATTTCGAATTGAATGCAACATGTTTTCGAAAAGTTATACTTTTATCAATAAATTTAATTATAATATAATATTCTAATTTGTGAGATTTATTTTTTAATTATACATATACTTAATTTCTCATATTTTTCAAATATTTAAAGATATCAAATTATGAGATTAACTTTAAGTATTTTATGATACATAAAGGTTTAAACTCCATGTGATTTAAAAATGTTTAATTCAAAAATGAGATATTGATAAAGTTCACTGTTTGACGTATCTGTCCAAGATACTAATTTCGGAAAATTGAAATATTACAAACGTGACGAACGCTACTAATTGAGATAATGAGACTTTGCCAAAGTTCACGATTTATAAAATATGCGACCAATGTCGTCGGAATAATTCTTGCTGAATTGTACGATGGCAAGCAGCGGTTTGCGAAACTTTTCGCGACAGGTACACGTCGACCTCGTCCAAGGAGCGCTTTCTCTAGAGCAATTCCGCGACGTCAAAAGAACTGACTCGCAAGCCCGTTAGTTTGAGTAGCGTGTTTCCGATTGGCAGGGGAAGCCTCTTCACTTCGCAGACGAGCTCGGTGACGGAGGCAACTAGCGATGAAATTGACATCGACATCGAGGAACCGCAAAGAGTCACCACGTGAGTACACATTCGTCTTTGATCTTTTAGTAAAGATAAATCTGTGTCGCAATATTAAGCACTTTTATGACAAAAAATAATATATACAGAATATATGTAAAAAGAGAAAATTACTGTGAGAAATTTTAGAAAAAAATATGCAATATTTATCAAAACAAATCCAAAAGGATTAATAAACATGAGTTTGAAAACAGTTTGTTTATAAATTATGTTTATTATAATTTATAAATTATGAGAAAGAGCGTTTCTAACTAAATTAATTTATTAGATTTGTCAAACCAATTGTATTTGTCATTTATCTGCCATTTGTTTCAATATACATTTGAATATGCTTCGTGTATTTCCTCAGAGAAAATGTCATACATATTTAAAGGTCTCATAGAGGCGTTTAGAGACCTATCTAGAGAGCGTGTATATACGATGTTGCAAGAGCGAATTTAAAATTGAATCAAACTGCTACTAAAAGAAAACAAACACCGAATTCGGAAACGAATAATTTTGGGATGCATGTTTATTAAATTTTCATCATTTAAATCATTAAATATCTCATTTATCTTTAACGTTTGATAGCAATTTTTTTCCGCATCTTTTTGCACGAATACGTATTGCTTAACCGGAGAGAACGTAGAAGTTTACGATCCGTTCGATAACTTCTAAAGCGAACTTTCAAGCCATTGCCATCGTGGTCGATCGTCGAGTTATTAAACGCCCATTTCGCGTGTGTATACCGAGTTAGATCGCGCCAACCGAAATCAGAGTATAGGAAGCCGAGAAACGTACATATATCTCCATGCAAATTACTTCTACTTTGTATGCGAAATCGATAGCGCCGCGAAATTTTCATGTACCTCTACCTACCTCGTGCACATCATAATATTCCAACAAATATCGCGCAGATCGTTATGTGCGAATTCTACAAGATGAAGGGAACTTCTTTACACAAGAATAGAGCTTTTCTCTACTTTGGCGAAATTTAATTTCGCGAAAATCATGTAACTTCCTTCGTGCATCTGAGCTACTCGAGCTACTAAGCCTTGAGTTCTAGCTCTTTGAAAGTAGAACCGAATAGCTCAGAGAATTCGATCTCTAATATTACACCGGAGAAATGTCTCGCAGCTTGGTAATCGTGTAATCTACCAGACGTCGTTTTCGTCGTCATGCTTTGCATTTGCATTTTTCAATTTTCCATCATCTATCTCTTTTTCATCAAGTACTTCCAGTCAAAAAGTTTTAATTTCATTTCCAGTTAAATCAGCCGAGAGAGATCAAAGAATGAGTTATGCATATTAAATTGTTATTATACATGTGAAACATAAATATCTTTTTTTACGTTTTATACGATGAGATATTATTGAACATAAATATTCACTCGAATTTAAATTACAATTTATTTTAAAATCGATTGTATTTATTATATTGATTACATTTTATTTTATTTTCGTACAAGTCTTTACAAGAGGATTGTAACTAACGCCTCAAATAGATTTCCTTTGAAACTCTTGTTAAGCAAATATCCTTCTATTTTAAATTCTTATATATGGTTTTTCTATTAATATTATTTCAAGTGTTTCAAACAGCAGCTTGTATATTTAGCATACCCTTGGACTTTTAATTTAGCATTCACCTGGTTATTATATCTTATTCAAATCTGTCATTTTCAGTGCCACGAGGCATTATTTTTCGGTATAAAAATCCGTGTCCCCGTCTTCCGCTCATTAAGAATTAACCACGTTCGCGAGACGATTAGATGCGACGATTATCGACACTTGTTCCGCCAAAAATACACATATCTCGCTGAGAATGATATTCATAGAGAAGGCGGGCAGAAGGGCGGACAACCTTTTCGCGGCTTTCCGCGCCATTGACATTTCGAAAAAAGTCGATTCTGCGGGCGCGAATGGAACGCACGGTATTTCGCACAAAAGGCTTTTTTTCCACAGATACGTAAGTGCTTTTTTTCACCGCACCATTACTTTACACCGGTGCAAATGACCTAGTTTTCGCGACGTCGAGCCCGTTCGTGCACACTCGAACTTGTATTATACGTAAAGATACCAGATTTTCCTCCTTCTACCCATTTTTCGTTCTCACAGTTCACCTACTTCCGCCTAAAGCTTTCTTATAAAACTTGCCAACCAAAGAGAACCTTGTTCAGGTATCTTTCAATGTTTTATCGTGCCTCGTCCGGCTGTATCCACACGCGTCGATCTCATTTTAAAACATCATTGTACCACGTAAAAGCAGCCCATTTACTCGCTTTCAAACACACATACATATACACTATCTTACCCTTTTTACCTGGTCTGTTGTATTTTTTTCCATTTTATCAATTTTTTTTATCAATCATCTTATTCTGAATTATATTGCTTTTTTATAACATTCGATAATTTTAATGATTTTTTTCTATAAAACTCTTTTTTCTCTTGACAATTTAATGCAATAATAAAGAAATATTTATGTCCGAGGATAAAGTAATTGTCGAATAGTTTTTTATTCTCAGCAGACACTATGTCCTTCTTAGACTCTACCTTATTAAAAACTATAATTATATTTGAGATATAAAATTATAATAATAAAATGCAAAAAGTAAAAACCTTATATTCTTGAAGTAGTACGATTAAAATTTTTCAAGTTTAATGAAGTTTTCTAAATGAGATTATTCGTATCTCATAATAATAAAAATTTAACAAAATTTATAATACACGCTAATTTATAATTTTCCTAGATACTTTTATATTAATTCTATTTGTTATTTGTGTACATCAATATTTATTTTTATTATATACTCTCATATATGTTTCTGCAGATTTTATATTAAATTTATAGTAATTATCTTATGCGTGCATTTTTATCTCATAAAAATCCATCTATCCGTCTATCATTACTAAATTTCCCGGATAGTAACGATTGACATTTTCCATTATGACATTTCATAGAAATTTCTTACGACGTGTTGTCATTATATAAAGTATTTTATCTCGCACATTTACACCCACGACAGAAGCATCTGCCGACAAGCTAAGCATTCTCAAGAACGTAAACACCCGAGGAATGGGCGCTCTTCTCGAACATATTCCCCACTCTTCGGATAAGCGTCAAGAAGTCGAGAAGTAGCGGATGATGACTAATATAAAGTTGAGAGAGAAAAGAAGCTCAATATTTTTGACGGCTATATATGACAGTAATCCAAGATGAATATTGACATGTACAATATTGCATTTAGCACAAATCAATTTTCTATCTCGTATAACAATTATCTCGTGAAATTACAAGAAACGCGTAGCATTTTTGACATTTTTATCGTTATTTTATCTCGAAATAATATTATAAATTTTATTTATATTTATTGTAATTATATTCTATTAAGATTCTATTATAGCGTATTAATGTTTTGGCTTGGAAATACCTTTAAACGGGATACTTTATGCAATTTATGTTATCGAGATTTAATATTGCACTTTATCAGTTATTTCTTGGCCATAGCATGCGATGAAAGGGAAACGAGCTGTATCTAGTTGCATCTCACCGCCATCGTCTAGGAAAATTAAGTTAGCGAAGATCGCAGTTCTCTCCCTCTCTCGAAGAGGTGTCAATTTCTCTTTTAAACTGAATCAAAAGCGAATCTGAAACTATCATCGTAATAAAGTGATTCGCGATCGAATATCGTTTCGATAATGCGATATTTCAATTAAATATGACTAACATTTTTGCGCGATAGCATATAATTTTATTCTTTTTTATATTCTTAATGATTTCTCTTAATATATTTTCTTCATTTTGACGCAACAAAAATAAAAAAGAAGAGATAAGTAATGCTTCTTTTCGTAACGTGTCGATTTAAACTTGGATTTTTACCATTTTCTAGGCTGACAGAAGCACACCGAAATGCTATCCGGGCAATCAGGAAGATCAAGTACTTCGTGGCTCGCAGAAAGTTTCAACAGGCTCGAAAACCATACGATGTGCGTGATGTCATTGAACAATATAGCCAAGGTCATTTGAACATGATGGTGCGGATTAAGGTGAGTTCCTCGATAATGATTCTTTTCTCGTTTGCTATTATTCTCTACTTTCGAATAATCGCTATTCAGAATAGAAATAACAATCAATTATTTTAAAAACGCCCGTCTCTCGATAAATTGCTCCAAATCATTCATCGCGTATTAATGATGTGTATTAATGATGGATGAACTCGTAATAAGCTATAATTGCGTTTATTTGACGGATTACTGAACGATCGCCAATTACTCGCCTCGTTCAATCAATCGTGCGCGATCCCTGTGCACGATTAGCTCGATAAGATCGAAGCAACGAGCTACATGTCGATTTACAGAAGACAATGGAATCGTGGATACGCGGCGTGAAACAGCTGACAGTTAATCAAAGAATCGTTACGGTTTGTATCTCTACGCTGGACACCAAAGATCGATCACATTGAACGTCAGAAATACTGCAGCATTCACCAGTTGTATTTTCGCGAGACATTTTTGGCACATGTCTACACAGAAAAAAAATCATAGTAAAATTATTGCTGTCCGATGCGGGAGCGACCAAATTTTGTTATAGTTTACTTTGATATCGTAATCGATATTATAATCTAATTATTTAATTTATAGCAAAATTTGTTTTGTTGATAAAATAGGAAAATCTTGTTCAAGTAAATTTGCTCGTAGAAACGTTTAAAATTTACTGCTGAAAAGGAAATCCAATTTGCTGCTAAGACAACATAGTCTTACAATTAGCGAATATATTGTTGCAGTGAAATCATCGTTAGCTTAATGATATAACAAGACTCAGTTTATCGAATAGAAATAATTTATTTAGATACAATAAAATTATTTTTAATATAACAAGAATCTTCTTTTTTGTCAATATAATAATTAAGATTTTCCGCAATAAATTTTTTTGGATTATCTGAAATTTATATAATAAATCATCTTTTATATAATAAATTAATGTAAAATTTCAAATTAAATACATTCCTAATTTTAAGCAGCAATATATTGTAATAAAACTATAATTTTACCCGTTTATACTTATGAGATTTGCCTATCATTGATACTAAATTAATCGTGCTATATCATATTCATCGATAATACTAATCTGGATTCGAAGGATAAAGTCATTATTATTCAATTACCGCAGGACGGATGACAATTAAAAAGAGGAATGATGAGAGACAAAACATCAATCACGAATAACTCCACTTTTGCGAACACATTGCCTTTTGTTCTTCGTCAAAGAAGTTTCAGTATTTCACAATAGGCGAAAAGGGCTTTATTTTGTATTGAGAAATTGAATCGACAGTTCTCGAATTGTCACAGCATGCAAACGAAATTTCTGCCTTAAGCGTTACATTAATTTTAATTCCAGACTGAAAATTTGATTTTTTATTGTTTTTCTATTTTTCGCAAGAGTCACGATAGAGTTACATGTGCGAATTTACTTTGCTATTTCAACGACGTTTCGCAAAAATTGCATTAGACTGCAAAAAAACCGAAAAAGAAGCAAAAAGAAATAAAGCGATATTAATTACAATATAATTAATAGCGGATAACGATTTTTGTATTCATCCCTCTGCATTTTTTGGTATAATCTGTATGATATATATAAATTCACGGAATTCATATTAAATGCATTTGTGCCATTTGTCCGCAGGAGTTACAGAGGAGATTGGATCAGACCCTGGGTAAACCGGGGAGCTACCTGGCGGGAATCGACCGGGCAGGCAATGTAAAACCCATGACGATTGGTGCGCGCTTATACAGAGTGGAGCAGCAAGTGCGTCTTTCTTCTTCTCTTTTACTTTAATCATAATTTATCACCATAATTTATTACCATAATTTTATCATAGTTATCTAATTATCTTAATTTTTAAGCAAAATTTTAACATGAGGTTTACTTCCATCTTTGATATTGATATATATATATAATTGAAGAGATCATTTCTAAACCGTTTTATATTCACATATATTATCGATATATCATTTTTATTTTTTTATTAAATGTGAATTCAGGAAAGATTGCTAATGAGTTTTCTCAATTTACGAGAGAATTATGATAGAATTATACTGATATTTGCGAGATCTGTCGAACAATTTTTGTCATTAGGGAAAATTTTGAATATAATATCGATTCTCCTCCATCAATTATTCTTTCGATTGACGGATTTCCTCGGTTTAAACGCGGTTCGAAATGCGCGGAATAGCGAAACATATGATGGTATTACATTTGCTGTTAATTATTCCGCGAGAGAAACTGGTAATAGAATTAATTACATAGAACTCGCCCTATTTAAAATCGACCTTAGGAATAATATGCGACATTTTCGTTAAAAATTCACATATAATTTATCAAACAAAATCTTTAATATCGAAGTGTATATTCTGTTTCTCGAGAGGAAAGATTTACAACTGCAGACTCGAATGCATCGAGACGATCTTTCTACTTTCAGCTATCGGTGATGGACAAGAAGTTGGACCAGTTGATGTATGTACTAAACGCGGTAGCTCAGAAACAACAGATACCTCTGCGTAGTATAGAGGACGATGTGTAACAGAGAGCCCCCGGCGAACTCGTGCAATCCGTTTTGCTATCACCCGCAGTTCCACGGGCCCTGCCACGCGTTACTATAACTACGGTGACGCCGAATATGCTCAGTGAGAGCTTTTAACGTGAGAGATAGCACGCGTATGAGAGTATTGTTATAGCTACTTGGCTCTATTCACCTCGAGAGAATCCACGATGTGAAGAGATCGCAGGGATAATCTCGACTTTTGTAAATTCCACTGAGATCATACAAGTCCATGCTTGCATATCTTTGTAATTTAATGGAATGGACGTAATAATTGATCATAAAATCGCCGTTATATGACTTGTATATCTCGGCAGGAGATATAATAAGAGCAATTGTGACAGAGGCATGTGTCGATTGCGAGAGGAGTCTTTGAGCGTAAACGTTTTGACGACAAAGTCAAACGCACAGGATGATGCATAATCAACGAGGCGCGGAATCGGGAGACAGAAGTTGCGGCGCAATTCTCCCCGCAATTGCGCCACGTGAACGACGCTTTGTAGAATTGAAGACGGAGGCATGCGAGATACCGTACGCGTAGCTATCAAAGGAAGGGCGCGAAAGAAATACATTATTCATCGAGGGGTGATCTCGGCCTTATCAAGGGGAAGAAAAAAAGGAGCTATACAACGCTGTTCCATATTTTCAGTTCGCCGAAAGAATGGGTAAACGCCAACAAGGGAACATCATATATTTCGGGCCAACTAGAAATAATAAAGAGGAACAATAACCGAACTTCCTAGATTTTCAAACTTGTCGATTAAAATCATAGACTGCTGATCTCGGTTGAACGTTTCATCGTGAACCGTCATCAGGTATTAAAGGAGATTCCAAAGCGGTTCTCGATATATAGCATTTTATGGTCCGGTTGTGCTTCAACATGGGCCTTGACATATATATGGGTCCCATAAAACTATGACGGAATCAATTCGAGATCGTTGCCCGCAAATTCAGCTTCGATTTTGGGCTTGATCTCTCGCGATTTATTCGTATCCCAAATTTACTTTACCTTCGGCCTAGCACAAATGTAGATACTTCGAAGTAACTCGCTTCATAAAGCTGCGCATACGATTCTTTTCCATCTTCTTTTTTTATGGCTACGATCACACTTGCCTACAGCGCTGAAAAGCAATATGTCTACGTAGATTATAGGTGCTGTGCTATGTGAAAAAAGAAATTCTTGATACGATACATGTTCTCTCGTATATGTATCGTATCTATACAATTAGTCTTCGATACACGCGTGAATCTTGAGGAAGGTCTTGAGGAAGGTCTTAAGAGACTTAAATGATATGCTTTCTGTACGAAAATAGAAGGGAAAAATGTATATATCGCGATTCTCGTATAGAAGCGTATAAAAATACAATTTATATTTTGTACGTAGATTATATTTACAGAAAAACACATTAAGTGATCGGATACGTGCACCGCGATCTTGAATCCCGCGCACGACTCTCGTAGCGTTTGGTCCATACGCGAAACACTCTTATTTATTGCTAAAATCGAAGCCACGAACTGCGATGTCAGCGAATTTCTGAGGAATACAATCTAGCAGATTTTTTTTATTATAACGTAGATTAAAGAACGTTCCAACGAATTGGAGAGGCATCGATATATTAGAAAACGGATGCGAATGATTGCAGTTCTTATGATTTCTCAACTGCCAAGATAGTTTTAACGAAACGAGCAATATATATAAGCGATGATAAGTTCAGATAAGTCGTTAACGATAAGCGGATTCGCGTTGTCTCGCAATTCGTGGCGTCGATTGCTTAACGATCAGTCCTTCGCAGGCGGAAGATTGTTCTTTATCAAGCGAATCTGTCGCACTTTATATATCTATCACATCTGATATATAT